AATTAATACCAATTCACTTTAAACTTTTCTATGAAACAGTATGAAACAGAAAAGGAGGAAACACTGCCTAACTCATTCATGAAACCAGTATTATACTCATCCCAGAACCAGACAAAGACATATCCAAAAGGAGAATAAAAGGCCAATCACCTTAAGGAACATCAATGCAAAAATCTTTAATAAAATAATGGCAAACTGAATCCAACAACATATCAGAAAAATCATTCACCATGACCAAGTGGGCTTCATCCCAAGGATTCAGGGGTGGTTCAATAAATGTCAAACAGCATATTAATAGAAACAAGGACAAAAACCACTTGATCACATCAATAGATGCAGAAAAAGACTTTGATAAGATTCAACACCATTCATGATAAAAGCTTTAAGAAAACTAGGAGTAGAAGGAATACACCTTAACATTATAAAGGCTATAAATGACATATAGTGACATTGTACTAAATGGAGAAAAACTGAAACCATTTCACCATAAATCAGGAGTGAGACAAGGGTGCCCACTATCCTCACTCTCATTCAACATAGCCTGGAATTCCTAGCCAGAGGAATAAGGCAAGAAGAAGAAATAAAATGAATACAAATAGGTAATGAAATTGTCAAAGTATCCCTATTTCCAGATGACATGATACTATACCTCAATGACCCAAAAACTCTACCTAAAAACTCTCAGGCACCATAAACAGCTTCAGCAATGTAGCAGGATACAAAATCAACTTTCAAAAATCAGTGGCCTTTCAATACACCAACAATGAACAAATTGAGAAAGAATATATAAAGCATTCCATTTACAATAGCTTCAAAATATCAAATACCTAGGAGTAAACTTACCAAAGGATGTGAATCACCTCTACCAGGAGAACTACAAACCCCTGAAGAAATTTAGTAAGGAAGACTACAGAAGGTGGAAAGATCTCCCTTGCTCATGGATTGTTAGAATCAACATGTAAAATGTTTTGTAAAAATGGCTATTTTTACAAAAGCAATCTACATGTTCAGTGCAATTCTCATCAAAATCCCAATGACATTCATCACAGAGATTGAAAAATCTGCCCTAAAGTTCATTTGGAAAAACAAGAGACCATGAATAGCCAAGGCAATACTCAGTAAAAAGAGCAATGCTGGAGGTATCACAACATCTGACTTCAAACAATATTACAGAGCCATAGCAATAAAAATAGCATGGTACTGGCACAAAAATAGATATGAAAACAAGTGGAACAGAAAAGAGGACCCAGATATGAATCCACACAGCAGTGCCCACCTTATTTTTGACAAAGGCATCAAAACATATGGTGGAGAAAAGACAGCCTCTTCAACAAATGTTGCTTGGAGAACTGGATATCGGCCTGCAGAAAACTGGAACTAGATCCATGTCTATCATCCTGTACTACCATCAGCTCAAGGTGGATTAAGGACCATAATATCAGACCCAAAATTCTGAAGTTAGTACAGGAAAGAGTAGGGAATACTCTGGAAGCAATAAGTATAGGCAAAGAATTCCTCAGTTGAACTCAAGCAGCCCAGAAGCTAGGAGAAATGATGGATAAATGGGATTACATGAAATTAAAAGTTTCTGCACAACAAAATAAATGGTCTCTAAACTGAAGAGACTACCCACAGAATGGAAGAAAATATTTGCTGGCTGTACATCAGACAAAGGATTGGCAATAAGAATATATAGGGAACTCAAAAAAACTAAACTTACCTAAAACCATGAACCAATAAAGAAGTGGGCAACTGAACTAAATAGAACTTTTTCAAAAGAAGAAATTCTAATGGCCAAAAAATACAAGAAAGAATACTCACCATCCCTGGCCACAAAGGAAATGCAAATCAAAACCACACTAAGATTCTACCTCACTCCTTTTAGAATAGCTATCATCAAAAACACCACCACCAACAAATGTTGGTGAGGGTGAGGGAGATGAGGATGAGGGAGAAAAGGAACCCTCATACACTGGGAATGTAAGCTAGTACCACCACTTTGGAAAACAGTATGAATGCTTCTTAAAAAACTAAGCATATCTCTGTCATATGATCCAGCAATACCACTCCTAGAGATATACCAAAAGGAATGAGACTCAGGTTATTCCAAAGGCATCTGCACTGCCATGTTTATTGCAGCACTATTCACAACAGCCAATGTATCGAAACAGCCAAGATGCCCACTACAAACAATTGGATTAGGAAAATGTGGTATTTATACACAATGGAATTTTACTCAGCCACAAAGAAGAATGAAATTTTGTCATCTGCAAGTAAATGGATATAACTGGAGAACATCATCTTAAGCAAAGTTAGCCAGGCTCAAAAGGCCAAAAATTTATGTTGTCCCTCATATGTAGATTATAGACCTAAAACAAATGCAGTAATATCATTGGACATGGGTCACACACCAAGGGGAGAACACAAACAGGAGAAATAGGGAAAGGGAAGGGAGCCTAAAACTTGAAAGTGTTTGATGTGCCCACCGTAGAGAGCAAATAAAGTAATCTTAAACTAACAGAGGCCACTGTGGGAAGGTGACTGGGAAGTAGTGAAGAGGTCAGGTAGACATGAATCAATTCGGGTTGTAACATATATGTGCATGGAAGTAATGCTAGGAAATTTTCTGTATAGCTGTCTTTATCTCAAGCTAGCAAAAATGCTGTGTCTTTTGTATTATAGCTAATGTTTTCTCCTCAACAAAATTGGAGAAGAGGTTCTGCCTAGAATCGAGGGGGGTGGGGGGAAGGAGTTGTGGGTAGGGGGAGGAGTGATGGCCCAAACAATGTATATACATATGAATAAATGAAGAAACAATAACAAATAAGATAAAAGATGAGAAAGAAAAAAAATAAAGAAAGTCTAATAGAGAATAAGTGTTTAAATGAACATGTACCCTGGTTAAGTTAGTGTATCCTGAGAAAGTCACCAGAAGCTAAATGTTTTGTTGATGTTACTTGTACTTCCAAAGGTTCAAGTTGCATGAAAATTACACACATTTCTCAGGGAAAAGGTCTTTTGAGTTCATTACTGTTTTACAGAATATGCTGAAAAATGACTATAATTCTCTATAAGTTAGTTATTAGTTGATAGCAAGAATTTAAGAAAAACATTTCTTTCCTATTTCTCCTTGACTACTTCAAAATAAACTCAGAGGTATGTATTCTAAAAAATATCAAGAATTAAAAGAATTAAAAGAAAGGAAAAGAGGGAAAAAAGAGAGAGAAGAGCACAGTAGACTAGACATTTAGAATTTGTATCTGAGACCTAGCATTGTCCAAGCCTAAACAGCAAATTCTGATTTCTGTTACTTAGTTTGGCATTCCATGAAATGAAAACATTTTGTACCATGTAGACAGAAGGACAGTGAGATTATATTTATGACTGCAAAACTGAATAAATCATAAAAATTCCTTATACTTGTGCCAGGAAGAAATATGTTAACTTTTCAAAGTCTTAAGAATTATTAGCAATATATCTTTCATACAAATAATGAAATATAATAACATCCAAAAACTCAGGATAAGCCAATATAAGACAGATATTTTCTGTTTAATACTATAATGTTTAATTTGTATAACAAAGATTATTTAATTTTCAAGTATTACAGTTGTTCTTTTGAGTTTTGTGTTGTTCTGTGTGCAACTCCCTTATTGTACCCAAAAGATGTTCTGTAGGATGCTATTACAATATTAATTATTTGCACATTTTATGATTAATTTTTATTAGGCTATATTTGTTATCCAGAGGATTAGTCATAGTGACAATTCTGATTAGGTTTATACTGTACATTAGTTAAATTGCCCTCATCGTCTCTTGTCCTCAACCCCTACCCCGACCCAATTAAAGCAACTGCAAGAGGTTTCTTTGTTCTATTTCATATAGGTGCATGAAATCCATCAACCATATACCCTCACCTTAATCTCCTTCATTCACCCTCCCCCCCACTAATGCCCCCACACTCATAATATACCTATTTTACAGTCTGGTCTTTCATTCTTAATATTTAAGTTGATGGTCAAAGGCTTTCTCAATGTATCCCCATAGTAGCTGTACTTTACTTTAGTCTGTTCAACCCTTCCCCTTTACCTCCACCCCCACTTTTCAAGCTTTCAATATACATCCTTATATCCTCTACCTTCACAGATGTTATGTTTTGCAATATTACTTATTCTCTTTTCCTTTCCCTCTTTCCCCAAGTTCCATAGAGCAGTTCCACTATTAGAAACATGTTCTATGTATGAGTTTGTATATGATCATGTTTGTTTTCTGTACATGTTTATCTTTTGGATCTATTTTCCACATATGAGAGGAAACAAGCAGCCTTTATCTTTCTGAGCCTGGCTTACTTCACTTAACAAGATGTCCTCTAATTGCATTCATTTACCATCAAACCATATGTCTTTATTCCTTATAGTTGCGTAAAACTCCATTGTGTATATATTCCACAATTGTTCAATCCACTCATCAGTTGTAGGGCATCTGGGTTGTTTCCATACCTTGACTATTGTGAGTAGTGCTACAATGAACATTGGTGTACAGTGTCTCTATTGTATCCTGACTTAATTTTCCTTTGGGTAGATGCCCAGGAGTGGTATTTAAACATCCTTTAAAAATGATGGTACAGTTTGGTTTTACTAAATCTCAACCCAGCTCCACATTTGGATATTTTTCTTTCTCAACATCCATAGACTTTCTCATTCTACGTAAGGCTTTAGTTGTTTCAGTTTTCAAAATGCTAATTATGTCCCAAATCTTACAAGGTAACCAAATTGCAAATCTTATAGGTTCACACAAGTGTGAGAAACTAAACATGGGTCAGTTGAATTTATTTCAGGTATAAGAACTTAATGGCTTTAATTGATCCTTATATTGTTATGCATGACTGTAGTGGCTTCTATAGTGACCTTTCATGGCCACTAGGCGATCTTTGACTGTACAATGATAAAATTATTCATAGAAAATTTTAATCTAAATAATGTTATTCTAAGGATCACTAAGCTTACATTTTAAGTACATTTTAAGAACATTTTAGAAGTGTACAGTAATAGACATATATTCTCTCAACTTAAAATGGGTCCTACATGGGAACATGAGAAGAATGAGATGTTCTTTGATTTGGAGACATAATGGAAGCATGGCTCACTTTCTTTTACACACAAAACATTACTTCAGCTGCTCCGTTGTGATCTTCAGAGTTTACCCTAGAACACTACTGTCTCATTGCATAGAACAGCATCTTCCTACATGGGTTTCTTCATATTCATTGGTGTTAAATGAGGTCAGAGCGAAGGCAAGCTTTTTGCTAAACAAATTTGGTAGAAAAAAATATAATGAAACAAATCTGAACAGGTTTCAAAACTTCTCAGAACCCAGAAAATGAGAGTATTGTGCAGTATGAAGCTCCAATAGGTAAGATGTACAATGTCTCCAGAGTTTGTTGAAAGAAATGTGTCCTGAGAAATTGGTTGTCATCCTTCCTTTATTCACTGAAAATCCTCTCAGCATGATGGCTGATGTCCAGTCAAATCTCCTTCCATTTCCAACCGGCACAGTCACACTTCTTCATTACCCATTGAGCAAGAAAATGTTAGTTAGAAGGCCCATTTTCCTTTGGGTGGCAAAAATAGTGTCTCTGTTCCCCAGTATATTTTTTGTAACATCTTTGCCTAGCACTTCATAGGTACTCAATAAATGCTTAGGAAGGACTGCTCCTGTCTGTCTCAAATGCATTTTATTGATTTCAAGAATTGCCTAGAAAATAAATGTTTCTTGACTCATTTGGAAATAGGCTTATTTAATATTTATTTTCAATTTCATCTCTGTTTAATTCAACAGTACTTTTGAATGACAGGGATAGATAGTAAATTACCATTACCCAAACTTTAACTAAAGTAATTCAAACTCAACAAGAATCATAAAAGGTTGTTTTTATTAAGCTTTGTATGCAGATTGCAGCTAAGCATCACATTTGACACTCAGATATGACATTCTAGGAAACATTTCAAAACACTTCAAGCACATTGTAACTACTGAGGAGACTGCTACTTACTCTACAGGTAACATGTATACTAAATACTTTAAAGAGTCATTATCTTTATGTGAAGTGCTAAGTGATTAATTACCCTCTTCCATACAATAATTATTCTGGACAAGAAGCTTAAGGAAAAGCATGTAACTATGATTGAGCTACATAGATCTTGCATCCACATTCATCCTTTTAATTTAGAACAGGAATTGGACTCACATCAAAAGGCAAGTGATTCTTGCAGAGTAAGCTATATGTTTTCTAGGTACGGTATTAATACTAATCATTAGCTTGTTTAAAAACTTAAAAGAAAAAATTTACATTTAATACCACTATATTAGTGATTATAGGAGATGCTTAGCTGTCGAAGAATCTTCTCTCCATGTTATGAGGCATGTTTAGGAGTTCTTCTGGGAGATTTTCACTGTGACTGTCTTGATCTCTGTGTATTCAAGGATACCTTCTTCTCCCCTGGAGATAGGGAAAAAAATACCTGTAAACACCATTGCTCACAGCAGGGCAATTTTACTGTGGTCCTTAATTTGGTACATGCTTTTTTTTTTTTTTTTGGTTAGGGACAATGGAAAATATTTTCTGAGTACAGTGGATTTCATACAGTAGCTAGCTGATCAAAAGTTATGTGGCTGAACATGAGTCCCCTTGTAGAAAACAATTCTGAAAAATTCTTTCATTTAAAATAATGTCTTTATTAAAAAGACAATAAAAATTATCTTTCACTTAAAATAATGATGTACTCTCAGAGCTGTAATTTTAACAATCTGACTCAATTCTTGACCAAACCAAATGAAACCCTGACCTTTACTGTTCCAGAGTTTTCCTTCTTTTTGGAATGCTTGTATATTTTCTTTTTAAGAAGGAAAAAGATAAACATTGGCTGACATTCTGGCATTTTGCTCAGGTTGGGTTTTCCCATTTAAACAACCTTGCCTATCTCCTACCATTTGTTATATCTCCTAAGGCCACCCAAATGACAAAAGACAATCTGTTTTCACCCTGATATCTTGTTATCAGAATTATACCTCTCAGCAGTTTTGAAAACTATGTCTTACCTTATGTTGAGATAATAAGGATTGGGCTCAGATATCCTCTGTATTATTTTGAAGAGAAGATCAAATTTCATGGATATAAGGTATATAAGACAATTCTTAAAATCATATAGGCTATGCACATGGAGGCTGACAGAGAATGAGATATTGATCCTTTTCTATACCTTCCCTTCTTGTGATGTAGACAGGTATGTCAAAGACATCTTTTTCTCCTGAGAAAGCTGATCCCCTTACACTGGTGATTTTCATGGCTTATTAAGGTTTTAGAAGCTTCAATGAGCATGTTCTTCAAAGTAATAAAATGATTTAGACTCAGCTCTTTGAAATCCTTAAAAGGCAGTATTTTAATAAACACTTTATCTCACAGCAGTCAATAAATAAACTCATGGTTTTTCATAAATAGTCATTCCACTGTATTTTGGGTCACAAGGGTGCTGACACTCTCAGGAGAGTTTTAAATGTAATTACTTTCATACTCAAACTGAAATAGGTACCCCTTTTTGAGATTCCTATGCATACATTATATCTATGAGTGAACACAAGAACATCTACTTACTTACATTTATCTTACTAAGTCCCTGTTACTATTTCTGTGCTTGTGAAATTATTTGTGTACAGAGCATTCTGGACCTTATTCACATACTGATTCTGATTCAGGACTCCTACAGTGAGGATTGAGGCTGCATTTCTAATAAGTTATTAGAAACATGATACTCAGATTCTCCTCTATCATCCACACTGTACATAAAAAGGTGCCAGTAACAAGTTATGCTTGTTTTTCCCTCCACACTCAGAATTGAGCCTTGTGCAGAGGGACCTGTTTGCTGAATTGAATTGGCAGTACAATCAAACAAAAATTTCATTTGACTTCTTTCTGTACATCCTGTGTTTTTACCAAACTTCCTCACTCCTCCTTTCTGAATGAGACAGGAAAAAGGAAATAATTTGGTAAGTGACCAGTAAATCTTTGTGAAAGTGAGTAGTATTAGACAAAGAGAAGGATTTCTGTTATTTAGCACATGCCACTGCCAACACTAAGACCAGAGATTCAGAAGTCAAGACTAAGACCCTCTGAGTTACCATTGAACACAGTGGATCAGCACACAACTATTTTGGCTCTTTGAGGGCTCTGCTCCCAATTGATAAATTCTGCTTTTCTAACTTTTAGGAAAAATTATAATTTACCTGCTGGGGTCATTTAGTTTATTGCTTTAGTGATTCTCTTTTCCCATCTTGTAGCAATTGACTTTTTATTCAATATCCTGAGTTTATTATGTAAACTTTCAAAACTTTTAAAACTTTTTTTAGCATTCTCAGCTGGTTTTTGAAGTACAGGATTACAGTATGGTATTTTACTTTGTATTTTAAAGAAGTGAATTATAAATACCCATATTATAGATTTTAAGGAAAGTGTGATTGATTCCTGCTTTCGGTCCTTCTTCAATTTCATTTCCTCTTGCTTCAACCTTAAAGTTTGAAAAAGTTGCATCTAACAAAATTGACATGGTGTCTAGTTTTTCGTACATTTTGCTTGTTTTATCAGCACTGCAAGGGGTACATGTGAGGTAATTGGGCCAGTAATAAAGTAATTGTCCTTTAAAGTAATCTAACCTTTGTAATAGCTTTTTTGTACAAAGTAACTAGTTCTGTCAAGGAATTCTCCAGTAATGGACATTATAAAGAGAAGAAATGAGGGAAGGGAAAAAATTTTGAGTCCTCTCTTTGTGGTAATTGTAAAACTACAGATTGAACACTCTATGTGTCATTTAACCCTCACAACCATCTTAAGAGGTACACTAATACATCCACTTAAAATATAAGGAAATCAAAGCCCATAAGCCAGTCAATTTGAACCAGTCCACACGACTGGCCACTGGTGGAGTCAGCACACAAATACAGGTCAGTCAGTCTCACTTCTGTCTTCTCTCATGTCTGTGCTCTCTGTATCAGTTGATCTTTCACCACTATCTGTGACCTCAACAACATTCTTAAGATATCCATGGTTTTTCACTATTCCACTAATTAGATCCAAGCTAATATCCTTGGATTTAGGATTTCCTAACCTATGTCATGTTGAACTTTGAAATCATACTTCCTACCCCCAATAAATCCACACCAACCAGCAAGGTTAATAGCACTCAAAAATGCCACGTGCCATATCCTATAAGAATGCCCTCTCCTCCACTTACGGCCATCCTGCACCAGCTTCATGTTTTAGACAAAGATCTACCCTTTCTGTGAGTTCTACTCTTTCTGTATCAGTTGTCACTTCATTTATGTCCACTGAATTATTAGTGGAGTTAGAACCACACGATCTTAACCATGAATAGAATTTCAGAAATCTATTTCTTCCTACTCCTGTTCTTACAGAAACCTTGACCTTGTGTAACACATGATATTTATGAGTTAAAGATGTTATACTCTCTTGGCACTCAGATTTTCTGTACTTCAGCAATTTGCTCTTCACTTGAACTACTTCCTTAACCTCATAAGGTATGAGTTCCCAATCTGTTACTACTTATTTCAAACTGAGTGTAGCTACTTTGCACTATATATCTGTTTACATATTCCTCTTACCACCAATAATATAGAGTATGAAACTGAGTGCTGACTCTCTGGGTTTTCTATAACCTCATCCATAGCAAGTACATAGTGACTATGTATTGAGAAAGTGGTTAGAACATTTTATCATTCCCTCAGTTTTCCACCTTCTCAAAGATATTTGTTTTATTATAATTTATCTAATTAATTAAGACAAATGACAAAGTTTATTTCTATTTACTACATCCATGAAAATTAGAAATTGAGATTCATTTTACTTGCATTAAAAATGAGAAGCTTTATTATATTTGATTGTTTAGTTTCTACATGATGTATCTTTTGTCTTAATGAATATTTAGCAAACATAAAAAAATTTTAAGAACTGAAATGGTTAAAAGTGCTTGACGAAGCTAAGAAATATTATGCTTGTGTATATGTGTGTGTAATACTTTAAAAAATCATTGTATATGTATATATACACGTATATAACATATATAACAAAAGCAATTAAAGACTCATAAAGGCCTTTAGGTATAAATATTCACAATTTAGTTGCAACTATAAAATGTCTCTTCTTCAGCCAAATTTCCCTCTGGGTTTATATATTACAATCAAAAACAGCTCATTCAGATAATTTAAAATTTTAGTGTGCTTATTAAAGTTTATTTCACTCCTGCTATTGACATTCTCTCCTTATGAAGTAGAGCCAACATTTAATAAGCTATTTGGTTGTATTAACTTCCAAGAAAGAGCAAAGGCAGGATTTATTTAAGGAGGTGAAAATGGGTTAATTCCCTGGGAACAACAACAACTTTTATTTAAATAAGTATCTTAATAAAATTATTCTTACATTTCTCGTCCATTTCCAGACATCTTGAATCCACCAAAGGGACACTGGGCGGAAAACATCAGGTAGCAATTTACCCTGACAAAAAATAAGTACATTATAGATCATACATAACCTATTAAATAACTACTTAATTGAGAATTTTAGAAGCACTTTTTAAGCACTCCACTCATTTCAGTATAATATAGTCATTGATATAAAAAAACTGTGCTATAATTCAGAATGCAAAAAGACACATACACACACACATGCTGTGTTTTTATATTTTTCCCTTTCTGCATCAAATTATAATAGGTGGAAAACAAGGTGACATCCCAGTATAAACAGAACCAAATTTTGAGCTCTGGTTCCTCGTGCTAGTCGAACATTAGTACCATATCGTATTAAAAAAAAAAAAAAAAAAACCTCTTTAAGTACAAGGCCTATGCCGAGACTCAACCACAAAATGATTGCAATGGTGTGTTCGTTGCATACCTTCTCTTTCCCCAGGACAGTTTTTCGAATTTTGAAACATATGTGTAGACTTTACTGGTGTAGTATCACTGATGCTAAATTTCAAAATGCTCCAAAAGCGAAAGATTTTTGAGGATGACTTTATTACATTTCACAGCATTTTTGAATTTGGATTATTGAATAAGGGACATTGTACTTTATACTAATGTACATCTAGGGTTGAGAGCCATTGCTTTAAAGTCAGAAACTACAGGTCTTCCTCTCAGCTCTGTTATTTGTTCCAGGATCTAGATAAGTTACTTAGTCCCACTAAGCTTTTTTACTGAACTTTAACAAATAGTTGTTGAAAGGTAAGATGAAATGATAAGTGTAGAAATGCATAGCCACATGCAGTAACTATTCACTAAAGGATGACTATAACTTGGGTTAGGAAGAAAAGATGTAATGGCATCAAGAGATCAAGAGGGATAAGAATTGTTTGGTTATGTCCCTTAAGGACACTTTTCAGCTTCTACTGTTTTTGTTGTTGTTTGTTTTTTTCAGTTTTTTAAAAAGCTGAAACAGATGTGAAAAGGAAGATGATCTGCGGCCAGAACTGAGGGAAAAATGGGAGGCTTAAAGGATTAAAAACTGCTAAGAAAACTGTCCAGGAACAAGGGACTGGGCTGGAGATGCCAAAGTTTGAGAAGCACAGCCTTAGAATTTATATCGACTAAAGTAAATATTAAAATCAAATATTAAAAAATTAATAAAGTAAATATTAAAACTATGTCAAAATGAGATGGATATTCTCCTCAAAACTCAGTATGTTCTTCTAAATTATAACCTTCCTGCATGTATAAAAATCCCAGAGTAAGAATGAGATATATAAATTAAATATTTGCATCCATAAGATTTCCAATAAACATTGCCTTATCTAATTAAACTTTTTCAGACTTACTTTTCTTTGTCTTATTTGTACATAGCATAGTGACATGTGCCTAGACTTGCCTAGCAATATGTATTTTGTGTAAATCGAATATCCATAAAGAATTTTAGGCAACTAATTGCAAATCAAAAGACTGGAGAGAGTTAATGAACATTCTTCTAATATAATATTTATTTAACTATGTTTTCTTTCATTTTTGTTGTTTTCTACATTTTCAACAGCAACAATTTTTCTAGCAGGCTATGTAATTTGAAATGAAAAATTCAAGGCTACAAAAGTCAAAATAAGTTAACCTGTTGACACACCTAACATCAAAAGGCGTAGGTAACTTCAGTTTCACTTACCATACTACACCCGCCTGCAGAGCAGAGGAGACTGTCATGGCTCTGTCAAGGTCTTTGGTAAAGACTCCTGCTGCCAAGCCATAGTGAGTGTTGTTGGCTCTCTTGATCACTTCATCTACAGATTTGAACTTCATGATTTGCTGCACTGGTCCAAATATCTATACCACAAGAAATTAATACAATAGGTTATAACTGAATATTTTAAATTTTAGTTTAGATTCCTATTCTGAATTGCCTAAAATTTTGTTTCTCGGTTCACACCCAGTTGTAAGAATCAAGCTAGGTAACTGTAGAAAAGGAAGGAGAAAACAGGCAATGATCATGTGTTGAATTCCCTTAGAAATAAAAGAGGATAAAAGCAAATAAAGCAATATTTGTTTCCTAGGTGTTGGAATTGTTTCCTAGATCTCACACTAATTCACAATTTCTTTGGAAATATTTTAAATTTTCTCCTTAGTTATAATCACCTTCCAAGTTACTACATATAAAAAGAAAGTACTTTACAGGATAAATGAATAGACAAAGATTGATAATAATATTTATGTTTTAAATATCCAGCATCATTGATTGAAATACCAAATCTTCCTCTATACTTGAAAGTTTTTATAATTAGCTAAGTTAGGTAGACTAACATGGAGTTTTAGTCAGACTCTATTTTGTGGACACATCTTGTATAACGTACATATACCCACAGAATTGCTCATTACTGGAAGAGCATAAATTCTTAAGTTCCCTTTACTAACCAAAGCATGATTCACTGGCAATGGATATAATGACAAGACAGGAAACATAAACCAAACTTTGATTATTCTAGTAGACTAGTTATCATGACCCAAACTCATTCTGTATCTCACCCCAGAGAGGAGGAAATCAACTGGATTTTCTCTTTAAAATAAAGCTTCTATATTTCAATTAAACATTTATTAAAGCTAATACAAGAGAGGCTGCTCTGAATGTCAACATAATATTATGGGAAATGTGAATGAATGTAGGCAAAAATCAGACATGACAACTGATTTTCTAGTGTTCCCCACTGATGCAAGTGGTGTAGGGGCTGCCCTTCAGTACAGGCTGAGTGCAAATCCTAAAGCTGTATGTGTAATCATGACATTGTAACCTAGGAAATAGAAGTAGACAGCTACTCCAATAAATGTGTCAATAGTTTACATAATTTTAGTTGAACAAAATACATGGCTCCACGCTCCTCTTTGAAGCAACCAGCTAGCAATATAATATATATTACATAGAAGTTCATGTATAAATATATATAAATGTATTTATATATTATATATTATACGCATGTATCTGTATATATATATGTGTATATATATATATGTGTATATATATACATTTTTGTTCCTTTTGTTGATAAGCCCTGGGTTTGAACTCAGGACCTTGCACTTGTTAGGCAAGTGCTCTATCACCTGGTCAACCACACTCTAACCCTTATCGCTTTAGTTAATTTTCAGACAGGGTCTCATGACTTTTGGCCAGAACTGGCCTCAGACTAGGATCCTCCAACCTGTGCCTCCTCGTGAGCTCAGATTATTGACATTCACTGCCACCCCTACCTTGTTTTCATTTGTTTTGCGTTTTTTTGAGGTGGGGCTTCACTAACTTTTTTGCTTATGCTGGCCTTGATGTATGGTTCTGCCATTTCTACCTTCCACATAGTTGGCATCACTACACTACTAGAGAAACACCATAAAAGTTTCCTTGAATTATGAGTACATTCCTATTATTGTCTCTACTGGGCATTAATCAAGATGTACAAGGCATATAGCTCTAACCAAACATGAATTTACCAACAGATGCAAACTTGTAATTCAATCAAGGACTGAATCGATGTAGAGAAACTCAGCATGTTGGATATCCATATACGTACATTTACTTTTATTTTGTTTTCCCTATTTGTTACTTCTGTTTGAAAATCAGATTACACCCTTTCTTCTTAATTTGATCACATTGTGGGGGTTGGGGGTAAAGACAATAACCTAAGGACAAATATGGTGCTCATCCCTATCATCCTCATCCAGCTACGAGGAGGGAGAATCATGGTTTGTTGCCAGGCCAGGCTGAAAGTTACCAAGATCCCCATCTCAACCCACAAGCCTAGTACGGGGACACCTGCCTATAATATTAGGTATGAGAGCACAAGCAGGAGGATCATGGTCCAAGACCAGCCCTGGACAAAAAACAAGAATGTAACTGAAAACTAACTAAAGAAAAAAGATCTTGGATGTGACTGAAGTGATATCGTGACTGACAAGGAAGGCAGAAAGAAAGAAAAAAAAGAAAGACAGAAAGAGAGAGAGAAAGAAGGAGCAAAAGAAAGAGGGAGAGAGAAAGAGAGAAAGAGGAAGGGAAGGATTTGGGAGGGAAAGAAGGAAGGAAGAAAGGAAGGAAAGGAAGGAAAAAAAGGAGAGAAAGGAAAGAATGGAAGAAAAGAACCTGTCATATAGTGGGCATGAAGTACAACTGTATTCTGTGTGCATTTTATATATTAAATATGTAACTATATGTATTATGTTTAAGTTTTTAGCTGCTACATCACTCCTGATCCTTTATGTGTTCTTAGTTTCAGATATTTAAATTATTAGACTTCTAATTTTGTGTAATTTTGTTAAATATTTGGTAAGCATACATATATTTGTATATATATATATGTCTATAAGTATACATACATAGAAAATTAAGAAGGCAGAAGCAAACAATATGGTGAAAACATAGTGGAAGTTGGGCAATGACTTAGAGAGCTAAAGATTACTTTGAAATGTTAGGATGGTTTATGTGTAGTAAAAGGCCATGGGCAAATATGATCCCAATAAGCAGGATTTAGATATTTATTTATTTATTTGCAGTTATAAAACACAGTCTACTCTCAGCAATTTTCAAGTAGATATCTTGAACTTATTCTTCCTAATTAAAGTTTGTGTCCTTAGACGATGGTGTGAAGGAAGGAAGTCCCTAAAGATTATTAAGCTCCCCTGCTCTGTGCTTGGCTAGTAATTCTTGGCAGGCCCAATGGTTTCCTTACCACATTGAGACTTAGTCACAGGTTACTTACGTGTTTTTCATAGCTAAATGAGGAGTACCATCCACTGAGAAAGATGTTCAAAGAGCTGAGTATGTCAGAGGCACAGCTGGTGCACACAGACAACGCATGGCAGCAAAAGGAACAGAACGGAACGACACCATTACCTCCTCCTTGGCAATGCGCATCTCATCTGTCACATTGGAGAAGACCGTGGGCTGGACAAAGTAGCCTTTGTTCCCCCAGGGTCCTCCTCCACATTCCAGTGTGGCCCCTTCTTTCTTCCCACTCTCAATGAGGTCCAGTATTTTATTATGTTGTTCCTTGTCAATCTATTTAAGAAATATCATATGAATAGTAAAAAATATTAGCAATTAATAAAGTTAATGGATTTGTTAATGAGGGACCAAAAATGCTAGAATATTGTTATTAAATCTAATGTTGAACTGAAACAGTTGAGAGAGGTTCAGATTCGTTCTTGGTGACATTTACTTTGCATGAATTTTCAGGAAAGGTACCTGGCAATATTTACATTATTAAATATAAATCTAGAATTGTGTAAGAAACGCATAGTGCAATGTTGAACACACATCAGGCTTCCACACCACTGTCATTTATCCATTCTGGAAGGAAAGTTTAGTAATGATGATGTGTTTAGACTTTAAGAAGACCCTGGACTACCTGTCCTGAAACATCCCCTTTGGCCTGGTGCACACCCTTGCACAACACATTCTCAACATGGATTGGGCATTTTCCAGATCAGTAAGTTGACTAAAATTGATAGCCAGTCCTATTGTTATCTTCCTGCTTCATTAAATGGGCCACATTGAGGTTTATGACAAGTTTCACAAAAGTTGAATGCTTAAAATATTATAAAGGGGGAATAAAAAAGTTGTCAGAGTTCAAGTTAGGAGTTACCAGTAACACATACCTCTCCTCCATGCCGTGGAATGAGAGGACTCTGTATTATCTCAGTTCCTTTAATGAGTGTTTGAATGATTGAGTGACTATTGATTAGATATCATCAGTCTGAGACATCCTGTCTCAGGTGTGGACTGAAGTACAAACAGGAGAAACAGGAGCTAAGATGACAGGGGTTCTCGCCGGTTTAATTTGTCTCTCTCACTACTCAAAAAAGTGGAATTCTTTATCTTCTTAGACTCTGAAAACTTCCCCATCTTTTGAAGGCCAGGAAGCTTCCAAAAAGTTATTTCTGACCTCACACTTCTCTGCTCTCATCTAACTAAATGACTAAATGCTTTCTGCAATCAGAAACTATTTTATAAAATTTGACACAATAATTGGTTCCATGTTTCCCCGGGCTCTTTAGTACACAATATTCAATAGGACAGTCCACAAAGAAAACCTCTTCAATTCCAGCAGCTTATAGAAGTTGTGGTATTAGTATAAAAAGAAGAAATATGTTTATTATTACATATTAGTTAATATAATCCAGTTTAAGGGTTGGTGTTAGATTCTGCCTCATTAAAGCATTCTAGTAAATAGTTAAGGGTTTCATGTACCTCCATGGAAAGCTTCTTTGCCTAGTGCAAGATATTAATCAGACTATAACCTCAGAGTCAGGATAGTTTTGGTTATTTCAATATATTTTTCCCTTGGGCTGGTGGAGTGGCTCAAATGGTTGAGGGTTTGTCTAACAAGTGCAAGGCTCCAAGCTCAAGCCACAGTAATAAAAAAAAAAAAGATATGTTTTCAAAGTCATATTGTTTCCGTCTGTGACCAGAGTGTACACTTGGTAAGAATTCAATCCCTACATACTCACTAAAGAAAGGGACTGAGAGTATATTTCTTGGAATGCATATATAATCACTGACTTCTAAAAATAGAGGCTTTCTATTGAATACCTTGCTGCAGACAATGTGCTCCTATAGGCAATAGGTCTGGCATCATCTGGTAGCAAGATGTCCTTCTTAGGCTGCGCCCTAGCCCCACTGAGTCCCAGTGTGATTCCAGTTCATGGGGAAGATGGAGGAACACCATGCTAGAGCATGGGACTAATGACAGAGCACTTCTGGTACACTGAGGGATCACTCAATTTGGCCTGGCTAATTTTGATTCAACAGGAGTACAAATCTTATTCAGCAAGTTTCAGATAGACTAAGGATGAACTTGGCTTTCTCTATGGACCTCATGCACTGTTTAGTAATGCTTGCAGGTAGCAGGAGCTCCTTCCAGGTGAGTCACTGGTTCATGGGCTGGTCTTTGAATTATTTTAGGTCACTGCATTGTTGAAATACGCTTAAACTATATATTTAAATGGATTTGAATGTGGAGAGTTTTTTCCAAGTTTTAAAGAAACTACATGTTTTTATTTATGAAGTTAATTAGGAAAATCACCATAAAAATGAAGAAAAATATATGTGTTTACAAATATGTAACACAATATAAATAATACACAGTAATGCAATTGTCATAACACTCAAAATACTTAAAATAAGAAAAATAAACTTCTTTTAAAAAATATTTTCCTAAACAGAAATTTGGCCATTATTTTCTCTATATTACTGTTTTGTTGTAATATTAATGTAGAAGATCCTATACATATATTTTATATGGCTTTTATTAACCAACAATGGAGGAAGTACTAGGTTAAGGTTTAGTGAGTGAGTGTCTCTTCTCCATAAGATTTTTCTGTTTACAACAGATGAAAAGTTGTAAGGGTAAAGAACCCCTGGATTCTTCTGAGTCTTTTTCTCAAAATTCCAAAATACCTACTTACCCTAGTAATTCAGTGCAACATGTGATAAAAATATATATTATTTACAGAGATAAAGCCTTACATTAGTGAGTTAGGTCACTGGGTTATTTACTTTAGAAATCTATGAATAGATAATTTTAAAAATTCATTTTAACTTCTTCCTCTTAGATACAAGGATATACTTCAGCCGAATATTTTGACGCTATGACTGGCTTGTAGGCATTTAGTGGAGGAAAATATTGACCAACCAATGTTCAATATCAAGAATCTTAGGTACTCTACTTTCTTCTCTTTGTGTGTGTGTATGTACATATATACATATATATATGTATAATAAAAGTACCTATGTTTATACATGTAGACAGATATTTAGTGAGAAAAATTTTTTAAATTAGAATTATATTCTTTTCTCTACTGTGAGAGCAGTTTAGATTGGAATCAAATATATTTCTTGGCATTCATTTTGAGAAGTTACCAAATAAGATAAAAATTGGCAATTCCTCTATGCAGTCATTAAACTCAAAGACAAATCCAAACTATAATGAGATTAAAATGAAAAGGAGTTTTTACTTCATTACCCAGTTGTATTAGAATTTTTAGGTTTCAATACTTGCATATGCCCAAAACTTAAGACTTTCTCACTGGATACTTGGAATCAATAGTGCTTATTAATTTCCTTCACACCTTTAATTCCCAGCTTGGCTCCTAAATTCTTTCTGGATATGAAAAATCTACAACCCAGGAACAGAATGATTTCTTTACATGGAAATCAGGGGTTTTCATCTCTATATTGATACATTATTGTTTAAGATGTACAGATGAGAGGTAAATCTAAATCACAATCTGGTCCTAAAAGGAAACTTTATTCTTGCCCCTTGGTATGGCATTCTTTCTGTTGCCCACTTACCTGAGGGCCTTGAGTTATTCCTGGAGTCAGAGGATTTCCAAGAACATACTGCTTAGCCCGCTCAACACTCCTTCGCACAAACTCATCGTAAATTGATTCCTCTACAAAAAGCCTGGATGCAGCTACACATATTTGGCCCTGGTTGAAAAATACCCCTTGGTGTGCAAATTCAATTGCATGGTCCACTGCAAAGAAAACATTAACTTATAAAAGAAGGAATATTTTCTTTTTATCAGTATTAGGGCTTGAACTCAGGACCCTGTGCTTGCTAGGCAGGTATTCTACCACGTAAGCCATGCCCTCAGTCCTGAAGAAGGAATACTTTCTATTTTTATATGTGCTTCTCAGAGGCAATAGAGTGATATAGAAAAATGATGAATGCATAATCAGAGATGGGCTAACCATAGTTCATATCTTAAACGCCAGATAAGAAATTAAGTTTTATCATCCTATATTTTCTAAGGAAAGGGTAAAAATAATTACTAGCACCTAAAATGTTGATTAATATTACAACTTTAATATGGACAGTACCAAGAGTATGGATTTGGTCACAAGACCAAATATCACTTCAGGTAACTTTTATAAGCATCTCCATTTACAGATACTAGAGGTACTTATATTTCACTACTATGAGTTTAATCCATATATTTATAACAGAGAGATAAACCAAATATGGATAGAAATTTTTTGTATACCATGAATGTTTCTTTTAGTCCTCAGGTTTTAGTTAGATCACAAAAACATCTGAACTGTCCACTTCCTTAAATAATTTCAAAACATTCGTAAAAATACTTTCATCAACAGGAAAAGTGAATTTCCGAAAATTTAACAAAGCTAACCAAACCCCACTACTATTAAGAATTAACCACCCACCTTATGGACTTTTTCTAGAACAGACATTTTCAAATCTATCTAAAACATATGTTATATTATTTTAATTATTCCTATAAACTATCTGTTCAGTTTAAATGGCCAGTGTGCCTGGTTTGCTTCATTAAAATCTTGTTGTCCCAAGAAAAAGAATAAACTTTTATTTGCATTTTCTTTTTCTAAATGCTGAAAATTCAATTCAACATTAATATAACTGTGTATGAAGTGTGATATAAATAGCTGCATAAGTGGTTGTGGAAGAAGTTAGAGTTGGAAAATTAGGAATCTTATCTTTTTTGTAGAATGTTCACCAAGATATGCTCTAAGGAAAGCTTTGCCTAAGCTCACAATAGTGACACAGACAAATTCTATAAACTATTTGTGTTTATGGTCTCATATCAATAATGCAACAGTGTAAGAGATTTAGAGGAATGTTTTAGTATTTGTTTCTTGTAATGAACTCTTATGTATGAAGTAATTTTGGGATTCTATTAGGTAATATAATAAGAATTAACCTATAATATCATCTATGTGGATAACATCATAAGTGTAGATTTAATATATGTAAACTCAACTATTCTTGATAGGAAAAAAAGAAATTTTAAAGTTTCCATTTCTTCTAGCTATCTTATCTCATGTGTATAAGACTCAGAATGAAGGGAGATAACAAGTGTGAAATTACGGTCTCCCACTGGGTCTCAGTCCACTATGTCTGATGAATCTCATCATGCTAACATAATGCTCATAATTAAAGATAATGAATTATTAAATACACATTATGGCTCCTAAGCACAAAGCATTTATGTTATCTAGGGTTCAGATTAGGAAGTCGCAATCTATTCCAAACCCAGAAAGAAATTTTTATCCATGTTTAGTATGTCTATGTGTTATAACTTCAGGACAATTTAAAAGACTTTCAGGAAAGACCTGAACACAAACAGTACATAGAATTGACCTGTGTTACCATTGTGATTGTAATTGAGGGCTTTATTTTTAGAACATACTACTTTTTTAAACTTTGTGCAAATGTTAATTAATTCCTTACACTTTGAAGCAAGTCTATTTGTAACAACTCAAGTTCACTGCATGGCTTTATCAGTTATCCAAATGGAGGACGGGTGAAAAGTTATCAAAAGGGTAATACTCACAGTCAGCATCAGCAAACACAATGCAGGGGCTCTTCCCCCCAAGCTCCAGGGTGACTCTCTTCAGATTGCTTTTCCCTGCAGCTTCTTTGATCAGTTTGCCAACCTGAAATGGGGCATTACAAAGGAGGAGACTTAGTTTGCTCTCATTAAGACACATTCTTTTATTATTTTAAATTTATATGATGATGTTTGTACCATCATTACATTTCATTTAGGGGAAACACTAAATGACATTTTTCCCATATGCAAGTATGCAGACATGAGGTGAATCAGAAACATGCTCACAGACAAAAGAACAGAGATACAGAACATGACAGCTGTTCTTTTGTGCTAGACTGCAGGTTACTTTTTGCTTTTATCAGAAGGTCATCTGTGAATTGATCAGACATCATGTCCCAACCACAACTCATCTAGTTCACATTTCATCCTTGTTTTGATGTCCAGAAAACTCCACCCATACAAGTAGACATACTCTCCTAAATCTCACCTCTTTTCTTATTATACACCCTCCCTAACCTGAACTGCTTCCAAGTTCTGTCCTTATATTGGCTGCAGCTCACATCTTAGCTTCTCCTTGAATTCTACTTTGATGACTCTACATAGACATGACTCTTTATTCTTCTTGTCTCCCAGAGAACCACATGAACACTCTTTCAGAGTCTGCCTTGAGTTGTAGTATTTGTATATGTATCATTTACCCAAAAAGAATCGTCACCTCCTTGGTTGTCGTGACAATATCCTATCATTACATGCATCTCCTTATCGCCTCAGTAGATTTTATCCCAGTGATTGACACTCTCTCAATCCCCAAATCTTTGGACAGTGGAGTTAGAAGAAAAAAACTGGAATTGAATCTGGGCTCTGTGCTCTTCCTACAGTGAGCTGGAATCCAACTGTTCTGGTGTCTTCTTTAGTGCTACTCATGTCCTTGGAGAAAAAGACACTGCTTTAATATTTTTTGGAACATTTCTCATCAAGATTATTTTCTATTGCTGTTTTTATTTTTGCTTCTCTGTAATCTAAACTGTTTTAATAACTATTTTTTTATTGTATTTATTGACACCTTAGTCCAACAAAATTATCTTTGATGTTCTTTTTTTGAGATAATAATTTTTTTCAGCAATTTCGTATTGTTTATTTTCCTCTTACAAAAGACATTGGAACAAATAAATATAAAATAATATATATCATATTTAGCAATGGCCAAATACAAATTTTCTTGGTGTTCCCCACAGGAGTAAATTAATGAACTTTCAGAAGCACACTCTTCCTAACCACCTATCAGTGTCTTTAAGAAAAAAAAAAAAGTCAATTCTTTTTACGCTTCACAATTTTTAACAAAATAAGTGATCTAGGACTACTCAGAGACCAAGGCATATAAATCAACAAAATTTTTAAAATACACACACAAACACACACACTGTTGCCCAGAAACTCCAACTAATGAATATTCTTACAATTTTTTTTATTTGTTGTAATCTGCATGAATAGTCTGTTCTGTTCAAATCTGTATGGCAAATAAAACAGAAATCTGAGTACAATGTGATGTATATAAACATATAGTACCCACACACAACTTTCCTGTCCTAAGAGAAAGCATTAAATACAGGTACATCTAATATACACTGAGCTACAACAAGGTGTAGGAACAACTGATTTCCTACACCTTGGAGGTAATGCAGAAGGCAGACAAATACCAAAAGTACTTGTGAGCAAATTTAGCTAATGAGATACCCTGCCTGCTTGGCTCACAACAATATAACAAAGTTTGAGCAATGACGAATATTCAACTATATTTTTCTCACTAAAATTATCCTCAGGCAAATACCTGAAGAGCTTTGCTAGTTCTTTCAATTAAATATCCTACATAAAGGCTTGCCTTTCCAGTGGAAATGTACAACAGCTACTTCAAGCCAGAACAAGTTGTGGTTTTCCCCCATCCTCCTTCGTGCTTCTGCTCCCACTTTACCAAGACCCTCCTTGTGAGTCTGCAGGGTTAGGGTCAATTCTTTCCGGAAATATTAGCTTCTCACAAACTGCCTCCTTTATTGGTAAATACTTATATTTCGTTAGGTTCCGTGAAGAGGACAGGTGGAACATGCATTAAATTAGCAATTTTTTCTCTCCCGTGATGTATATTCTCGTAGCATGTAGGTCTTGTCAGCCTCGTGGTAAAGCCTTGTGTCATTCATTCTGATAAGCACCCCATCAATTCTCAAGAAAAACCGCAGTAGTAGAAAAAAGCTAGAAGGCATTACTCTAATTTTCACACTGAGGCTTGAAACTCCATGATCATGCAGTTCATCCTCAAACAGGAGAACTTCTTCAAAAAATTTCATCTGTTCTCTTGCTTTCAGTTTCTCTGTATCTATATGATCTGTTGTAGGTACCACCTTTAACTTCAGAGATTCTCCAAGTAACGTTCCTTTACAATCTGTTGAATAGGTCCAATCCTATGGTTTAATAACTTCTTTGGAGTGTTCACCCTCCGTCCTGCTTTCCTGCCACTCTTCAGCACAGGCTACTTTAAGCATTCCTTGGTAGTTGTTTACACATCTTAATGCCTCTGTAGCACTGACCTCAATCCCAAAGCCAGAGCCATGCTGGACTCTCAAAACGTTCTCTCCAAACATCATTTCAGGAAGAGATGGCATATGCAATTCATCTGCTAACTTCTCCGCATCCGCTGACTTCCTCATGTGGGTCTTGGAGGCCGTCAGCGTGCAAGGCCCGAAGGAGAAGTCCTGCTGGCTGCTCTGGAAGCCGTGGGTCACCGTGGCCGAAGCGGAGCCCGCGGGGACCACACGGAACTGGCGGGAGCGGCGGCGGCGGGCGGCAGTCACCGGTTCCTCCGCCTTCTTGCGGCCAAGGCTCCCCGGCCTCCCAGCCCTTACCATGCCGGGCCCGCCCCACCACGCCCCTGGCCTGCCCACCCGGACGCGCTCCCTCCTTTCCGCCTTCGAGATAATAATTTTTGATTCTTCTTCTTTTATTCTCGTTGTTTCTTTTGTACTCTACATTTTGAATTTTAATTGAACACTTCTATTCCAGCTGAACAAAAAGATTAGGTTTTAAATTGATGTACACACAGAACTAGCTGCAATTGTCCATGAAAGAATAGAGTATATTTAGTATTTCATGAGACTAAACCAAACCCTTAAAATTAGATTAATGAAAATAAACTAAAAGTTGGCAGGCATTGAGGAAACACTATCTGATATCTACCATTTCCTTCTACAACTTCCATCCTTCCTTTCTTCCTTCCTGACAGTCTTGCTTTACAGAACAAGCTGTTCTCAAACTCTTGATTCTCCTGCTTGTCTCCTAACTACTGGGATTTCAGGGGTTACCACCACATCCAGCATCCACAACACATTTCTTGTGAACATGTTCTTTTGAGGTGATCAGGAAGTTCTGTTTTCTACATAGTGTTTTTTGTCTCTATTTTTTTGAGTTTCCCAGTTCCTTTCTGTGACTTTTTTGGCTTTTTCATATTTAAAACTGATGTTTACTGGAGAAATTCTACTAAAGTAGGTAACTTTTTTCTTGGGAATGAACTAAGATCAGAAGTATTTTTCTAGAAACTTCTGATGTCAAAAGAACTAACACCGAAGCTGATTATAAGTATGAATGAGGAAGAAATACTACATTTTTGCTTAGTGAAAGTTTAGATGGCAAATGAAAGGCTTCCTTGAGTGTTACCCAAATTGAGCTAAGTCTAAAACAAGAAGGCATTAATTTTTGTCCCATGATTTCATTCCCTTAGTTGGAAAAAAAAAGTAAAGTTTTATCATTTTCCTCAAAGAGGTCTGTGATAAAGACAAAGATAAGAACTGTTAAGACTTTGGGTGGACAGTATTTCCATGACATTGTCATTGCCATGTGAAGCAGAAAGAGCAAATGCTTGTGAAAATGTTCTAACCTACACAGTATGGACAGGGTTCTATTTTAAATGAATTAAAGAGACATTAAAATTCTTAGCTTGATAGAATGGGTCACATTTTTACAATGACCACAAGGAATGCAATCCAATGTTTGTCCCTTTAATGGCATTGGCACATTCCCTAATTTAAGCCAAGCAATAAACCTGAAACTGAAAGAAAACAAACAATAGGTCCTAAAAGCATTTGAGTTGTACTACTAATGCTAATTTATTTCTGTGTGACTTCTAAAACCATGTTGTTCACATTTACTTCTTCAGCATACATTCAGAGGTAGTTATTGTACTGCCTTCTGAGTAAGAATGAATAAGAAGCTCTGGTGAGGGAGAAATAATAAGACAATGGACATATACTTTCCTAATTATATATCACAGACATGGGAACACAGATGTGAAGATTTTAAAATCAGGAGGCTTTTAGAACAGCAGATATGAGGAGCAAACCAGAGAGGTATCACATGGGACTCACGCTAGAGTAGCTTCTGGCCACTTATGAGCAAAATATGGAAAACTAAACAGATACCTGAAATAATCAGGAAGTGATAGGGCATAATGGCAGAGATGAGGGGAAAATGAGGAAGTTTTTGTTTCACCTTCTTTAACTAGTGTAAGAAATTAAAGAGTGGAGGGAAGAAAGAGAAAATCAAATGAGTACCGAACACACAATAGGCCATTTCCAGAGTACCAGTATAAAAATTAGCTTAGTTTGGGTCTTTTTTTGTCAAATGAAGCACTGCTGTTACAAATGCTAGTCTCACTAACTCATTTCTCATATGCTTCATGGACTCTGCTAACCTGGTAAAAGTTTCTATTAAGAACAAAGTCTTGTATTCCTTAGCTGGGCAAGTTCCTGTTTCCACTAGCTGCCCTGGTTATGGAGCTCAGTTCAGGGTTTGTTTTTTCCCCTATCTCAATTAGGGATTTGCAGAATGCAACCTTTTCTGTCTGCTTTCTATGTGTTTACAATATACACATAATACAGTCACTAACTAGGATTATAAAATAATAAATTTCCCAGAACTCACTATCTAAAATGTCCTTTTTCTTTGTAATCTTCAGAGAGTTAAAAAAGCAAGTTTTCTTAAAATACAGTGCAAATTCTAGCACCAATCTGGAAATTAACATTCCATTTCATAACTCCTTTTGTAGCTCATGTATATATCTTATCACACCTGCCTTGTTTCCCATTTGCAGAGTCAGCTTCATAAAATGGAATTATGTGCAGTCCTCATCTTCTATGCTGTATACCAAATGAGAGGAATGCTGAACATCTAGCAATGCCAGAACATAAAAAATGAGACAAGAATGTCCTTGCTTGATATAGGATAATTTCTCCACTCTCTGCCTCATGCATTTCTCCACACAGTGCCCATGGTTAGAGTCCTGATTGCTACTTTATGTCTGACTAAGATAAACCAGGAGAACATCAGTAACTTTGAGGGAAGTTGAAATTCTGGCTCCATTTCATGATGTGTAGGGAAGAGAGAACCTCAAATAAGGAGCTGAGGATGAAGCTCTGTTATTTAATTTTCCTAATCTACAGGATACAATTGCAATGATTCATATAAATCACTGTGATGATTACCATCATATACTTTACCAATCACATGTCACAGGCTTAGCAGCTGTATTTCCCAAGACAGAAGGCAGTGAACACACTAAAACAGCTTTCTCTAATCCTTCTGACATTGTTTTTTTTTTGACATTGTAAGAAGTATTTCATTTCATCCAAACTTCATCTGCATATGCTGCTATATGAGCATATTTAAAGGCTAAAATTAGGAACTAATCAATAAAAATATTTTGTTACATAGGACATGCTTCTGATGGTTAAAGATGTCAGCATTCTTAACTGCCATTCTGAGTAAATGACATTACCTCTGTTGAACCTGTGAAGGCCACTTTGTCAATGTCCATGTGAGAAGAGATGGCTGCTCCTGCAGTTGGCCCATAACCAGGGATGATGTTCACCACACCAGGAGGAAACCCTGCCTAAAAGGTTAAAAAGAAAAGCAGTTAAAACAGAATTCAGTGGCCTCTACCTTCATATAGATTAAAAATTCCTTTAGTTTAAATGGATTTACAAAAGCCAGCAGGTCCTCAAGTGGCAATTACAAACCAACTTAAATATTCAATATTTGAAAGATTGCTTCTTTGTTTTACCATGAATACATGTTCATGAGAGTTGGACAAAAGAATGAAATAGTTGGTCACAAGGTTACTGACTCTGGTAGAGACTCATTTGGGTTGACTGCCAGAAACCCCAGCCAACTCTCCTGCTACATGTATCCCTACCACTGGGTGAAGGCCATTTGTAAACAATAAAGTACAGTAACTCTAAATGAGGTCCTCGTGTTTTAAATTAGGACTCTCGAATTCATGAGCATGTTTTGATTCAGGAAACTTACCTCTTTTATTAAAGATGCCACGTGAAGAGCAGTGAGGGGAGTTTGCTCAGCTGGTTTGACAATCACTGTGTTTCCACAGCTAAGAGCAGGAGCTATCTTCCAAATGAGTGTAATCAATGGGCCATTCCACTAGAAAGCAATATTTAACAAGAGATTATTTAAATTGGTCCAAGCCACATTTGCTAGTATAAATTCTACATTTATAAGCCGTTCCCCCAGAAATGTGGGTTAATAATTTTGTAGTTTTCTGTTATGTTTAGTGCATCCCATTTGAGTACATTGCTAAAAATGAACAGCAAATGATAAGAACTTCTGAGTAACCTAGATAGGAAATGTGAGCAGAAAAGAGCCTCATATTTGATGAAATGCTCTAATTTTTGAATTCTTATTCTACCAGGGAAAAATCACTGTATGTTTTTGTGTACAATTAAGCATAACATATGTTATATCTGTTCAAAAAGTATGAGTATTCTCCTTTTCCTTTAGGTCATTTATTATGTTCACCCAATAATATTATTAGCAGCATTTATAGCCAGGAAATTTGTTTTGCAGTTCTGAGGTTTGAACCCAGGACCGACCTTGCATGTGCTTTATATGTCTATATTTGCTCTACCCCTGAGCTATACCCTCAGCCCAGGACAAATAATCTTGTTAAAGACATAAGTGTCTAGGGTTTGGAGGCAAAATACTTGGGTTCAGGGCTCAACAAAATAACTGAATAGCCTTGTGAACTCAGACAAGTGACTTGTTGTCTGTGCATGATTTCAGTCCTCTCTACTTCAGAGAGCTGACCAGAGATTAATCATAAACAGGCATGGATATATATCTGTAGGACACCTACCTAGCTTGCATAGGCTCTTGGTTAGATAACTACCACTGTACTGTATCATGTTTTAGCTTTTGAATAATGATCAATTTTATTAAAAATGTTGTAAAGTTACACTTCAATTTCATTGAAACCAAAGATAAGTCATTACCATCTCCTCATGTAAAAACTTCAGGACACATTACCATATTTATATTTAGCCTTTAAAAATATGTTAGTCATGTTTAGAGAGTCTCCCATTTGTAAGGCTTAAAAGGAAATATTCATGATTCCATTTAAAAGTACCATTTTCTCACAGAGGAATTTGGGTATCAGCCTGTTAACTAAAGGTACAATACATTCCATAAAATACTCCAGATGTCTCTGGGATCATTTTTTTTTCCATTATAATTAACAAAAAGTCTTCAGGATTTGAAATGTCTGGTTGCTACTATTGACCATGGTGAGATGTCTTAAAGAGACAACAAAGAGTATTGGAGAGTAGTAAGTGTCCTGCAGCATAAGCGCCTGTGATGAGCACTCTGTCACTTCTTAAAAAGAGTATACATTAGAAATTTTCAAAAACAACCCATAGAGTAAAGTGTTAAGATTGTTGATGCCATGTTATTGAAAAACCCTCAGGAGATATACCAGGATGTAGGGTAATTTCTGGAGTCCCTAATTCATATCCAGCATGTTTAGTCACAGGAAGAATAGGTTCAACAGGACTTTCTTCAAGACATTCAAAAAGACTGAAGGTGAATATGGTTGAAGTCCTTTCTCTACAAGAATGAATATAGCATATTTAAGACTGTGAAAATCACTCTGTGAAGGGAACTAAGGTAAAAAGAAGAAAAATAGAGAGGATGAACCTCTTCCAGGTGTAATACATATATATATGGAAATGTCAAACGAACAAAAATTTCTTTTGTCAAACATTAAAGACAGGATATAAAACAGGTCCTGTCGGGGGGGTTGGTACCATAGGGAGGGGGAAGGAGGTAAGGAAACATTGAAGGAGGGTGATATGGTTGAAATATTATGTACTCATGTATGAAAATAGAGCAAAGAGACATGTTAAACTATTCTAAGAGGAAGAGGAGAGATAAAGGAGAATAATGGAAGGGGTGAGTCTCACTAAGATATATTCTAAGCACTTTTATAAATCTCACAATGTACCCCCAGTACAATAATACACTAAAAAACACACTGCACATATGTAACCAACACTTTGTTTTAGAACACCAAATAAAATATAATTAGAGATTCCTGATCCCCAATTGGGAATTATATGAGAGAACAACTTACAGGAATGATTTGGCCACAAACACCAATAGGTTCACGTCTTGTATATGTGAAAACATCTCCATCTAGAAAATAAAGCACAGCTCAGTACTATAAAGGTAAACGTATTTGGCATTCACTGAAGAATACTTTGCAGTTGATGGGAGATGACCATGTGAACAGTAAGTTTTAAACTGGAAGAAAAAACATATATCAACCTTTTTACAAAATAAAATATTGAGCCCTCAAATGATAAGTATGGAAGGATAGAAACCATAAAACAGAGTTAGGTAAAAGTAAAGAGGCACGATTGGGAAATGACTGAAAGATAACTTTCTCATCTCTTAGGAGGCCTGTTTGGTATACCATCCTTATTCTCAAAGTTTTATACAAAATCAGTGAGAAAGAATGCACAGTCATCTCTGTCTAAAAGAAGAACCATATTCAACTGTACTTCTAACTGCTCAAAGTTCTACCAGTGAAATAATCTTTTTTAAAAAGTTAATATGATTTTAAAATGGTAATATCTCCCCACAAAACATAATCCTATCTAAGAACTTGTTGTAAAATATTTTTTCTTTTGTCTACTAAACAAGAAAGCAAACTTTCTTAATCCTACTGCCTGAAGTGACAGACATTTCCTTCCCATGAGGATTTGACTGAGTTCCTGAGAGCTTTGTTCTCTGTGTTCACCTCTGTTCTAGTTCTCAAAGAAGCCTCCTGGCTATACATCAAGCACTCTCTTTCTCAAGAACCACAGGGACTTTACTTGGCGTTTTCCATGTTGTCTGAGGATAAATTACACAGCTACTAAAATAGCCAAACACTTCTTGTTACCACTATTGTCTCATTTGCCTTTTATTAACTTCCAGGTTACTACTTCTAACCCACTGGATGCTCCAATTAGATCAGAAATGAATAACAGTGTCAGTTCTGGATATTTATTCCCAAAGTCAACACATTTATAGGACTTAAATTTTACCCTTAAAGTTTCCCAAATTGACGCTTTTTCATATCACACTAAATAATGTGTGTATGTGTATATCCCACTAAATAATGCATGCATAAACATTTATATACAGATATTCTTAACGCAGGCTATAAAAATAGCCTCATCTTGCTTTAAAGCTATTTGAAACAAATCAATATGAATTAATTTAATTAGTCTGGTCTAATTTGACTGAGTTTGAATGGGCACAGATGAGCACAACAGATTCATACTGGAACATGAGAACATACATAAATAATTACAATATGGAAAGGGTATAAATGTCACTATGGAATAAAACCCAAATAAGCAATTTCAGAGTTTGGGTCTTAGAGAGACAATTACCTCAAATCAGTGATTGTAGTTGTAAGAATGCTCTTACTGTAATATTTTCTAAAATATCCCAAGTTGTCTTCTACATGATTATGCAGAAACAACTTTAATAAGCATTTATTAAACCTTAACAAGATTTCCACATTTAGAACTGTGTTGGCTTAAAGTCAAGGGGAAAATAATTCTGCCTAATTTGGCTTACATCTTTAAAAGGAAGAGTTTGAAATACTGAGCTTTGTAATTTCCTCAACCCTACACTCACACTTGTGGTTACCCAAATCTACTTACCACTCGGTATGGTGTAGCCATGGATCTTGTCAGCCCAACCTGCACAGTACTGTAATGCTTTTATGCATGTTCCTAACTCCATCAGGTATGTTGGAGGAAATAGTTTTCCACCATTCATTGACTCCATTGTCTGAAAAACAGATTAATCCCCATATCTGAAATCATACAGTAATTTTAGATTAAAAATGCATACTTAATATTTTCAATAAGCACATGTTAGATAATTTTGAAACTAGAAGGAGTCTTGAATTATCATGTCTACTCTCTTCTTTTCCAAAAAAATAAGTGTTATAATAACTTGTTTATGGTCACCAGGTAAGATCCTAGTGAATTGGGTACTGAGATCCCAGTTTATAAGCCCTGGTGTTCCTTATGTCAATATAGCTGAGTATCCTCCAGTTTACCAATGTTTTAGGAGTTGCTGACAATTGGAAATATAGCTAGCTGGTAAAAATGGCACCTACTCTCTATGGTCAGATCAGAGTTCCAACAAGATTTCACTTGTAATCTTTTGTAATAATTGAGTGTTAGTGAAAATAATCATGCCTCAATAATCATTTTTAATTTTCATTTTCCACCTGGATACAACCAATCTATTTACACCAATTTAACACCTGGATCTTTCATCTGCAAATATTCTTCTTTAGAATTTTCAAGTAGAAACCTCCTGTTTTAAGCACTATTAACATAATTATCATTTGGAACATCAAACTGTCAAGTTCAGCATTTTCTGGTCTAGCTGTTCCACAACTGTACAATGACTTTCTCTTCTTTTCCTTCTTTCCTCATGTAGAGCTTCAAAGAGCTCTTTGTGGTCTACTGTTCTTCTGGATGATACCTGAAAGGAATGTAACTGTGATTAACTGCTGAAGCTGTTCTGTCTCTGTTATACTGTTCATCATTCCTAAATTTAAGCAAACGTGATTTTTGTGTGACTGTGCTTCCCTGTCCCTTTACACACATGTATACACACACACACACAAATACACAAATATAATGGGGGAGCTGGGAGCCTGTTGATATACTCAACATTCTACAGTCCATAAATCAGACAAATGAGAGAAGCCAAGTTTCAGTGAAGTCTTCTGTCCTCTTATAGGACATTTTGGTTAGCACAGTTTTATTGTACATAGTCTCTGGTTTTATATTTTTTTAATATTTCAAATTATACTGTGTCAGTAATGATCGATAAACTATAATTGCTAATTTTTCAAATTAAATGAAGGACAGTGTTATTTTCACTTTAAGATTCTAACAGTAACAAAAATTTATTGTGAAATTCAATATGGGTATTAGTTTGTATTAAATTAGTTTTATTGTAATGCCTGACTAAGGAAGCTGAAGGAAATGCTCCCCTCTACCTGTGTTATGTGCTGACTGTGTCTAACTCGTAACTGCAAAAAGTTTAAAAATAGTACAACCAGCAAAGATAAAAACATACTTTTAATGAATGTACTAACAATTAGATTTATTTCTTTCTTCTTTGCTTTTGTCAACTGTGATGAGGAAAAACACATCATTTAATTATGAACAGTCACATTTCTGGAAAGGAAATTGTAGCTATTTGTTAAATAGTTTGCAGAGCTGTGCTAGGAAAAAATAAAATTCATTTTGGAGAAATATTTCAAGCACTTCTAATAAAAGTGATAAGAGTTTCCACCAAAAGATTTCAGGACCAAGTAAAGTTGGGAAACCCAGTACATCATTCTAGGAGTTTCACACAGCTTGTGACCTGGAGTAGAGGAAGGAAATTTGTGCTTATCATGCTCACTAAACCAAATTCACAATACTCACTGCTAGCAGCAGACGATCTCTTTCAATTAAGTCAGCCAGCTTGAAGAGCAGGCGTCCCCTCTGCGAAGCATCCATAGTTCGCCATGGAGAACCAATCTGGAAAGCCTGTCTTGCAGCCTTCACTGCCTTGTCAACATCTGCCTGTAAATTACAAGGAAGTCAATTCAGTAGACCTAAACCATTAGATTGGCAAATGCAAAGGCAATAACCCTGTAAAATAGACCAGGGCTCCTCATAAACAGACTCCATTAGCCCAAAGATTGGCACATTCTATACACTCCACTACAGCATGTTGGAATGACTCTTGAGTAATCTTTAGATAAGCTCAACACAATTATCAAATATTTGATTTCCTAGAATTTAACTGATACCATATTTTAATAATTGCTACTATATCTTATTTCAACAGGATACTTTGAATGTTATCCTTAATTCAATTAATATTCTAACAACTTTACACTTATTAGCTCAATCAGTTCTGAATAATCTTATGGAACAAATATGTTTCCCCATTTCATATCTAAATAAACTGAAAAAAGAAAGTGAGGAGATTGGTCTAAGGCTAATAATCTAAGCACTGCTGAATGGAAATTCAAATAGATCTGGTCTGACTGTAGACCCTTGGTCTTCTCACACATTGGACTCCTTTGGTGATTGGACTGCAGTCATACACAGTTCAAGATCACAAATAGCAAGTATCTTCTGTGGTCTTTGGAGACTCTATAATCTGCCCACTCTCAGGAAGAACTTATTGAAGATTGAAGAAGAACTTTTCTTTGCTGCTGAAGAGTAAGCATTACGAATATATACACAAATTCCTTTTGTGTACAGGAAAAAAGGCATAGAGGGAGTGAATGGAAGTGGTCTATAGAAAGGTCTGTATGTGATTGGACACCATTTCCCAACTGGTACAAAATCCTGTTCAATCTTTGATTAGGTAAAAGAGTCATTTTCCTTTTATTAAGAATGCACTGCTTAAAACTCCATTGATTAAAACAAAGATCCATTAATAGAAGAAGTCCACATTGGTGTAAATAAGTCTCACCTCCATGTCTTCACCCAATGCTCTTTCCTCTCTTTGTGGTTTTCTAAACCAGGCATAGGCTTTACTTCCTTCCTAATCCATCTGGTTTCCAAAGTTTGTCCAGGCAACTCCATTCCCCTATAAATCTCTGTTCTGAACTCTTCTCATCTCCTACAAAATGTACCTACAACAAGTATCACCACTTCTTTCATTATTACTTCATGTAGTTTTATTTTCCTCATCAATTAAATTGCAAATATCTTAAAGGCATACATCATTATAGTATCTATATTTTCTAAAAAGGACTAACCATAGTGTGGAATTCCATTAATCCTGATGACACCATAGGATAGAAGGTTGCAACTTTTATCAGGGAACAAAGTTCCCTTTGAGAATTAGTGTAGAAAGAAGCTTTTGAAGTTGCTCAAAAGCTGAAATCCAACTAAGGGTGATGCCTCCTCAAAATGATATCTCTCCTGTTAGGCTGTATTCGGCTAAGTAGCCCATACTTACAAGTTAGCAAATTAAAATGCTAATAAACTATTTTTAAATATAGATGCTCCTTGATTTATGATAGGATTACATTCTGGTAAACCTTGATAAGCAGAAAATGTTACAAATTGATAATGCACTCAATACTCCTGACTCATCCAGCGTTATAATTTAGCCTTGCCTTATTTTCACGTGCACAGAACATTGAACACGTGTTTTGTAATAAGGTTTTGACTATCCCATTTAATTTCTTGAATGCAGTACACTGTAGAGGGTATTGGTTTTTTAGCTTTGTGTTGTGTGTCTGGTAGGAAGCCTTGCCCTGCATCTTGAAAGAATATAGTATGGCCTATGCAAACTTGGGAAAAGATCAAAATACAAAGCATAGCTTCTACTGAAAATGTGTCACTATTGCATCTTATTAAAGTTGGAAAACCACACTTTGAAGTACAGTGGTAAATCTGGAATTATCTATATTTATCATCAAACTATTATGAATTAGTTTCATGCAAGAAGGGTAACTTAGAAGAATAATCTGGTCTGATTTATCAATAATTATACTGACTACAAGCAAGATTCATATAATATATCACTGATTATCTCACTGCCAAACTTTTGGGAGAATGATGAGTGTATATAATAAGAATATGCATCTATTTCTTGTTTGGTGAGAAATACATACATTTTAGATATTCAGTTAATCATATGTATTGCTTATATTTGGACACTGTTTTATGCTACAAATTGTAGCCTTTTCCAAACTAAATTTAGAGACCATTATTTGAGAAAAAAGGCAAACCACAAGAATCTGAGATTGCCAGCATGATTTGTGGATCCCATGGCTCATGGAATAAATGCAGCTCTGTGTTTAAACAGATGTGCATGACATACTTTCATTTGGGTCCTTCAGCTGAGTGTTCTGTCATTGGCCTTAGCCAAATAAGGACTAACATAGGCATCCTGACCTCCCCAAGGGATGTGGTGAAATTGGTTTCAAGATAAATAATTCTACCATGTAAATTCATCCCTAGAAAATGTTGCTACAAAGAAAGATGGTTTTCTTTTTCTACATCTTATGTTTAATATTGCAGAAGCAGAAATAGGGCAATGATAGTTAATTTATAGTTTTGGAACAAAAAAAACTCAGATTTGAATTCATATTCCTCTTTGTTAGCTATGTAAGGTTTGAAGCATCCAAGCATTCATTCATTGATCTAAAGATTTCGTACACACTCCACTCTTAGCATTCTCTTATCATCAGTCTGCTAGTGATAGAATAGTGAAATATTCAATCAAATAGGTACGACATAAACTAAATCTTACTATCATCACTCCATTACATTATAACTGAAATCACAGGCAGTCCTCAGTATCTGAAAGGAAATTACTTTCAGGTTGCCCTTGTAGATAGCCTAATCTTAAGAATGTGCAAGTCTTTCCTATAAATTGATGCAGTATTTACCTATGCACAGCCTTCCATATGCTATGAATCATCCCTAGATTACTCATAATGCCTGATAAAGTGTAAATGTTACATAAACAGTCGTATTGTTTAGAGAATAATAATAAGAAAAAATATCTACATATTCAGTATCAACACAACCATGATATCATAATTACAAAGTTTATGTCGGTAAGAGCCTAACATTTTTGATCCTTGGTAGTTAAGTCCACAGATGCAGAGTTTATGAGTAGAGAGGGCCCATGTATTCTAAAGTGAAATATGTATGCTGGGCCACAATTTCTCTAACGTTCAGTTTCCTTTAAAATCAGGGTAAATTGAATCACAGGATTGTGTTAAGGACTACACACAATAACCCTTGACACACAATTTCAATGTGACAGACATCAGGTTAAGTGTTCATTAGATGAGACAAATTTTGCTGTCAGCAATTCTATATTTTTACATTTCCTTTCAGTTTTCACAGCCTTGTACTATTGTAGGCTCTTATTATTCCATAGAATCAACATCTTCCAAGTTCGTGCTCTTCCTCTCCAACTGTCCTCCCTATTGCTAACAGGCTAATCTTCCTGATGGAGTTGCATCTTCTCAGTTTCCCTTTCGATGTTTCCAACTGGTTCCTTTTCTCAACACTTCCAGGGCCAAACTCCTGAACTGGGCCACATCTCAACTGCCCAGACTTTATGATCACAATGTTTCTGCTCAGTCTACCCCAGCCCGTCCCACCTAGTCCTTTAATGTGTGTCACTGAACGTGTGTACTTACCCTTATTTCTAAGAATACTTCTTAGGACACAGGCTTCTGGTCCCGACAGCCCTTTCCAAGGAATGATCAGTATTTTTCTGCTCAAGTTTGGCCTTCTTGCAATTCATGAAGGTACAAAGTGATTGTCACAACAGTTTCCAGTCATAAACTATTTAGCTATCAAAATCCATGCCCTTCTTCACACATCTACAGACAACTGATTTTCAACAAAGGGATCAAAAACATACATTGGAGAAAAGGGAGCCTCTTCAATAAATGATGCCGAGAAAACTGGGTATCTACATGTGGAGAAATAAATCTAGAACTCTATCAATTTACACAAAAATCTACTCAAATGGATCAATCATCCCAAAACTGACCAGAAAATATGAAACTACTAAAAGAAAACAGGGAAATTCTTTAAGACCTTGGTCTAGGCAATGAAGAATTTATGCATAAGTGAAATCTTTAAGACACACAGAAAGTGAAATCTGAAAGTGAGTGACACAAATCTATTTGATTCTGTTTTTACTTCTCAAATTGCTGACTCCTGAGCTTAAACTCAACACTCCTGCCCTTTCAGGTTTGAGTCTCACTTTGTTCTGATAATACTTCAATTTGAATTCAGTGCTTCTCCCAAATCCAGGAAGTTCCCCAGCTCTATTGCTGTCTTGGATTAGAACTGTCCAGTTTAGTCAGTACCTTGAGATTTGTGGTCTCATGGACTGAGGCTGAGGTAATGAAGGAATGGCACCTGGACAGGAACGTGTGATTGCTACAATCAACTGAAACATTGTCTCATAAATGGCATTGTCGCTGAATATTGTTGACTTCACCTCCCAAAAGTCTTTTTTATGAAACCAAATTTTTTTTATGTCTTTGTATCTTATAATACAGAGATTTAAAGCTTGGTAATCACTGCAACTAAACAGCAGAAAAATTATTTCAAATTAGACTGAGAAGCACAAGAACATTTTTGAATATTTTTCAGATCAAAGTTCTGAAGCCTTTTGTTTTCCTTACCCCTCAGGCTATTAAATATCACCCGGTTTTACTTTTACAATAATCACTAGGAAAAGGAATAACCCTGCCAGTCTCAGGCTCTGTTTGGGGTTAGGAAGATGACATTTCAATGCTTATTTCATGTCTTATTAGCAAGATAAATTGGAGTAAATTACTCAACCTTCTATTCTTCCATCATTACTATTTGTAAATGCAATTAAAAATAGTGTCATCTTCATATAGTTTCCTGAAATACTAAATTAAAAGAGCATTTAGAATTTAAAACTATTATTTACATACATTTTCATTTTTGTTATTTTTATTAGTTACATTTATCAACTTTTAATTCAACATTCAATTTCAGTCATTTTAAAATTCAATTTTAAAGGCATTGATTAATGATAACTCAATGATTTTTAGTGAAATAACTTGATATTACAGTGTTTTTAAATTCTTATATTACCTTTTAATTACTTTAGTCACATAAAAATAGAATTTGATATAAGTAAAGGATTTCTCTCCTTTTTAACTCTGTGGTCAATTCCTTCTTAGTCTGTTTATATAATATTTCTCTTTGTATTCTATTTCAATTGGAACACAATGAAGAAAAATTCTATTAAAAAGATAACCACAACACCCAGAGCACAGCGTCATCGTCATTCCATAGACATTGGTTTCCATGACCAAGGATAACTTAGAAAATTTGCCTGGATTTCTCAAGGAGCCCTATGTTCATGACATGTCCTTTTTAACTTGCAGTAGAATTTTGGAACTCACAGTGGTGGAGATATAAGGAACCTGGCATGACAGGGAAGCAGCGTTTAAAAACTCACCTTATCCCCTTCTTCTACCTGGCAGATTTCCTCCTCGGTGGCAGGATTGAGGACAGGGAACTTCTTGCCACTCACTGAATTGTGCCATTCATTGTTTATGAAGATCTGCATGAATGTAGAAAGGGTAGCTAATAAAAGCATTCAACTATGTAGCGAATGTTGGAAGCTTCTACAAACTTATAATACAGAATTATACAACTGCCTAAATGTTGCATATCCTTATCCTCTCAATTTTTTTGATTGTGTCTTGATATTTCACTTATAAACTCACACCTGTGCAAACAAGCACAAGTGCATAGCACACTAAAATAAAGTAGTAATGTTTATGTTTCATGAAGGCATGAAGTCATTTCAACACCTAGAAAATGTAGACCAGAGAAAGCAATTGTTTTCTTCTTTCAATAGCTGAGAATTGGGGGCATGAGCAGAAACTTCATAATTTTTATAAATCATTGCTTACATTTTCCACCACAAATCTGAACACGTTCATTTGGGGCTAGTGATGATCTGGTGACACAGTGATTATTTTCTGATGCTTTATTTTACTGCTTTAAAGCCGGCTTTAGGGTGGGATTTTGAAAGAAGATTGCTAAGAAAAATTGGTTCATGGTATGTTTTTCATTGACATTTTAAGGTTATAGGGGTTTTACTCTTCTTTTGGGAAGAGTACCTCATAGTTTACTCATATTCAGATAAAATCAGGTACTAGATTTCTTAGTGAACCTTTCTTAGTGAAAGAAATCAGAGCGATCCAGAAATTTTGGAATTTTGTTCTGTGTGCACCATAAAGGAACAGAAATGTGAGAAAAGCATGATGTGTCATTTAAAAAGTCTGAGTTTCAAACTTTGCAGTCTTGAATTTTCATTTCATTAAGAAAAGAAGGTTTGAAATTTACCAGAGAAAAATATTTGACAAAAACAAACTAGTAAGTGTGACTTTTAATTGATATATGTATGAACATCATTTGAATGGAAGGATGAAATCTGATTCTTTTTTTACTTTTTTTTTAAACCAATGGCTTTATAAATCTTAAGTTGTTTCTTGTTTTTAAGGAAAAAAATGAAATAGCTCTTGTATGATGAATAAAGATATGTTGTGTTTTGGTCAAATGCAAGATTTCTTTTCTCCTTACATCCCTTAATTTACTATTTGTTATATTATAATTTTTTTAGGTTTATGATAATAAGTAATTTGTTTAATTTCAAATCCTAGGTAGCTGTAATTGCAAATCCTAGGTAGCTGATACATACTTTTTTAGTTATTTTTTTGTTTGGTTTGGTATTCAGAGAACTCAAGGCGTTGTGCCTGCTAGCTATGGAGGCACTTTATCACTTGATCCACACTCCCATCCTATTTGCTGTAGTTATTTTTGGGATAGGATCTTCTGATTTTGCCTGGGCTGGCCTGGACAACATTCCTCTCATTTGTGCTTTCTACTTAGCAGAAATGATAAGCAATGCCACCATGCCCAGCTATCGGTTAGATGAGGGTCTCATTAACATTTTGTGCAAACTTGAGCCAAACTACAATCCCCTGATCTCTGTCTCCTGAGTAGTTAGAATTACAGGTATGGGAAATCACACAGGGCCAATGTATATAGTTTTCAAAGAAGGCTTTTAAAGAAGACATATGGACTGAGTTGTTTTTTAATTTCCTATGTATTTTGTACATAATTAAAATATGCTTTTATATTAGAATATATGAAGTTTAGTGCTATGTTTTTGGATTATTTTTACTGTTGTGCTAGGTTTGGGTACATTGTGGCATTTAAAAAAGTTCTTACAACACAGCAAATATATTATTCTTATATTCACCCTTTCCACTGCTGTCATTTATCCCCACCAACTCCTGGAATAGTTTCAACAGGTATCATTTTTTCTTTTACATACATGTAGACACATTTTTGGACCTTATTGATCCTCCTACCATGTTTTCCTGCCACTTCCCCCCTCCCACTTGTACCAATCCTCCACCCTGGCAGGACTTATTCTACTCTCTTGTTCTCTGATTTTGTACAAGAAAAAAGAAAAAAAAAAAAAGAGACAATTTTTCCTGTTTTAAATAAAACTAGTTACACAGGGAGATTCCTTGTGACATTTCCATGTATATAGACATATATTATAATCACAACTGGTTCACCTCTTTGTTTTTTTCCTTCATTCTTCCTCAGTTCCTTTCTTATGGTAGTTTCAGCAGGTTTAAGAATTCTATATTCATTCTTACATAGAAAATAAATCAACCATATTCATCTTCTTTGTGTCTTTCTTTAACCTTGCCCCTTTCATATGTGACCTTCCCTCCCCCTTAGTGTGATTAGTTTTTCATAATATCGCTATAATTGTATTTGGTCTGTATTCCACATATGAAAGGGAACATGCAGCTTTTGGCCTTCTGAGCATGGCTAACTTCACTTAAGATGATGTTCTCCATTTCCATCCATTTACCTATAAATGACAAAATTCCATTTTTCTTTGTGGCTAAGTAAAATTCCATTCTATATAAATACATTTTCTTAATCCATTCATCAGTAGATGGGCATCTTGTCTGGTTTCATAACTTAATTAATGTGAATAGTGCTGCAATAAACATGGTGTTCAGGTGCCTTTGTAGTAACCTGTTTTAACATGTACTATCATTCAGACAATTCCTCCTAACTTGATATTTAAAGACAAGTTATTAATAATTCAACCCTGAGGAAGAATGTACTGAACACCACTCCAAGGTTTAAATCCATTGGTATGTTAACTATAAATTATTTAGTGATTAAAAATTCTCCAATGACAGCTATCAGGATTATACATGCTAGACGTGAGTACACTATGATGTTAGGGATTTGATATAAAATGGATAGGGGACAAGCCTCCTTGTTTGCCTGTTCATACCAATACAATTACTCAGACAAAAACACCATCATTCTGTGCATGTTAAAGAGTTCAAATGAACTGCAGTGCTGGTCCAGAATTGAGAGAAGATGTGGGTTAGACTTTTTGTTTGTCTCTGTTTTCACTTTGGAGAGTTGGGATGTGTGAGGAAAACAGGCACTTGTCTGTGAAATAGGCCAAAGTTCAGAGAAACTCTCAGAACAACATTTCCTACTTCTCTATGGTTGCAGATTATAAAGTCTAAATCTGGCTCTTGCTCTTGTTTCTCTAAGTACTTTCCAGTTAACCATTACAAACCTACTCCCATAGCAACAAATTCTCTGGAGAAATAAATATGCATGGTTTCTTTCCCAAAATATGCAAAATAACACAAGTCTATTTGAAATTTTATGAAACAGCCTTCATCCAATTATCATACTTAAATCCTCTGTTACTAACATTCATTTTATTAAAAATATAGGGAAGTTATATTATTTCAGTATGCTCTGCTTCTCCTTTAAAGAAATTCCCACTTGTTGGACTCATTCTAGTAAGTTCTTCCAGTAACTATTTGCCTCACTTTTCACATAGGCTGGCTGTACTGGTAGTTACCCAAGTCCACTGACTTCTGGTACATGAAAGTTTCACACAAACAGAACTCCTTTCACTTGGAGTTATTTTAAAAAATAAATTTATGAAAAGTTGTCGGATCCAATATGATTTAGAATTCACTATTTGTTCAGGACACTAAACCCAGACTTGAATTTTACAAACATTTTGTTTTGGCCTGTACAGAGGTTAAATTGACATTTTATGTTTTAATAGACGTACTCTTTACAAATCTGAGGAAAGCAGCACATACAAGTTATACTAACCTTAGTATAATGAATCTTCAAATTGGCGAGGGGGGTAGGTAAGTCTGACTTTCCAGAGGACTGCATTTCTGATTCGGTTCTGGGAACACAAGTGACAGGCTCAGCAATTTGATTCTGATAGAGCACTTGGTTTGTTTGTTCCTTTTTATCTGCATGAGGCTGAGGTTTATTTGCATATTTGAATATGATTGGATGAACAGACTTAGAGCATAACAGACACATCTTCTTTGTAACATCTAAGACAGAAGACTTTTGCCTTTACACTTAAATCCTTAAGATTCCAGCACTCAAGCATGGAAGTTGCATCTGGAGCTAGTGCACTATTTATGTATGAATTAATTTACAAAGCCGAAACCTGTGTTAAGGATATTTGGTGCAGTTGCTCTGGCCACTAAAGCCAGATTGTTTGTTTCGGTTCTTGATGTTTTTTTTCTTTTCCTTACTTTTCATACTATTATGTAACTTTCAGTTCTCTGGCAGACTAAGATAATTTAAGAACTGAAAAAGAATCTAAAAGGACATTTTTCTTCAGTAGGAGCTAGGAAGTAGAGAATCCTAGCCAGGTGTCCTCAGGACAGAGCAACCAGCAAAACAATTGGTCTCCCAGGGTGCTGCTCAGGAAAGAAGGGCCAGCTTTTAAAAATTCAGTAAAGCCTGTATATGTGCAGTGCTGTGTAAGTAGACCTAGTATGAGTTTAGTAACCCGAACCTCTTTTTATTTTCTATATGAGAGCAGAAAAGTCAACAAAATTTTTAGGTAACTCAGAGTACACTGTCATACATAACCAGCACAACCAGCTATATAGCAAAGTCATCTGTGAAAATTCACCTAAAATGAAAGTAACTTCCAGATTTGGATGATGACTATATTTATCACATATAATTATGGACAAATGTACAAAGAAAGATTTAAAAGGGCACTACAAATAACTTCAATTTTTAATGTTTCCAGCTAGGAAATTTCATAAAGGACAATTGTAAGCTGTAGGACACCCATGATATTGCACAACGCTTTATTGTGTTGAAGCTACAGCAAAAGCTACAAAGGAAGTAAGATAAAATTCTTGGATGCTCTCATTAACAATAACAATTTCTTCCTAATGAAACTGCCAGCTCCCTGAACATGGGACTTAGATGGGGAAAGGACTTAGAAGTGTCTGGTATTGGAATCTGTTTCTCTTTCCACCTTCACCTGGTATTCCCATTTTAGAGACAGGGAGAGGGTAAACAGCTTGCTTACCATCAAGTGCTAATAAGTAAAAGGCCAAAAATCTCATTTCAGGCCTGTCTAGTTCTAAAACCAGGGCTTGTTTTCTTTTTTCTCTCTGCCCTCTTCTTCATAAGAGGGTTCCCAGATAGGTTCAAAATCAGCTGCTCTAGTTCTCTAGGTCAATAATGACCCAGGCAGACATTTATGCTTAACCTTTAATTCATCTTAGGATGGGATTGGCAAACTTTTTCTGTAGAGGAGAGATAACAAATATTTTTCACTTTTCAGGTTCAGATGGTTTCTGCTGTAACTTATGCAACTCGGTTCCAAGAAACTGTAGACAATAGGTAAATTAATGAGTGAATGTAATTTTCAATAAAATTTCACTTGCAATAAAAGAAGACAGATCAGATTTGGTACCTGAGCCAGTCCTCTAGATTATAAGGCAATATCATTCCAAAGTCCTTGGCTATACCACACTTCTTGTTTGAAGAGCAGATAGAAGTCCTGTGCTCTTTGAACATTTCCCTTTCTCTCTCTCAATTTCTTTCTGTTTGGAAATATGGTTGTTTCTGTTTCATAAATGTGCTTGAGTTAAATGCACAATTGCACAATAGCTGTTACATAACATGTTTGCAGAAACAGTGGTTTAGTTGCTGTCCTCTGCTCCCAGATCCACAGTTGTTTGTGGATTAAGACACTGGTTTAGTTGATGTCACTGAAATAAAGCCAAGGCTTCATAACACACATCGCCATGTCATGCCATTCTTTGGATAAACACACACTTGATTGGACTTGTTAAGTAATTATATAAGAAAGGCCTTGTTAAACCAGGTATCACTGATTATAAAGGAAACAACTTTGCAGGCAGGTTACCACACTTGCTTATGTCATTTCAACAAATATTTGCTAACAATCATTATATATCAGTCATTATTAAGCCTTGATTTCACTTGAAGGACAGATCTTTTCTGCTCAGAAACCACAAGCCACAAGATGTATATTTCAGAGGTATCTGCTGGTCCCAGAGTTTATTTTGTAGAGAAGTAGGTTGTTAGGAATAGCTGCATGAGAAGAGATTTTTTTCTTCACTTTTCTTATGGTGGGAAAAATGGCTCTGGTGAGAACAAGGGAAGCACACTTCACGACTGTACCTGGAGTTGTGTGTTTTTAATTGCATGTCTGGCTTATGCAGTAGGGGCTGGGGCTGGTACTTCAACTTGGGACCCTTGACAAGGGGCATTTAATATTCTTTTCCTTCTTAGGGGCCAGCTAAATTACACAAATACACATATGTACACACACACACACACAGAGTAAGAGAGAAATAATAAACATAATATTCATCTCCTAAATGTGATTTCTTCCAGCCCTTTTCTCACATTTTCTGATTTCCAAATTTTCCAATTCATTGAAACTGAAATTCTTCTTAGTCATGGGACACATCCAGGAACCTTCTCTATTTCCTTAATTGTCACTGGTAAGTCTGCCTGTTGCTTAATCCAGTGGTGTAAATGTCTCCATATTTCTGATGAGTAGACTTTTATCAGATACTATTTCATTCTCATTCATGTTCAAGTTTTAAAATTAACTATTAAATTTTAATACTTTGGTAATGTATTTCCAAAGTATGACCTTTGGAATATCTCACCTCGTTTGTGGCAAGATAAGCTGTTTGATTGGTAAACCGATTTTAAAAACAGAAGTACAATTTGAGTATATGTGTTTGCAGGCTATTTTCAGTTCATCTGCCATTTTTCTTAAACTTAGCAAAATTTCTTGGCCTACTGATTCCTCCTGCTCTTCACATATGCTATCATCATCCTTTTTTTTTGAGATATGGTAGATGTCCTTCTCACCTAGCACAGTCAGTACACTCATTGTTTAGTGTGGTCTCAGAAAGAAATGGTACATTTGAGCCTCTATCAGACAAGTGGGTTTGCTTATACATGAGCTTGTTAAATCTTACGGTGATATCACCCATTGAAACTGGATCTAAAATTATAAGAGGGAAAAAATTATGAGAATAATTATGTATATTTCAGACCACCAAGCTTAAAGTGATTATTACAGTGTTATAGATTTACAGCATTATACTGTTACATTAACTGTTACAGCTTCTGATTATGATAAAGCAGTAACAAGCAAACTTTAGGCACTGGCAATTTGTTGATGCTTTTCTTATAAAACTATTAATTTTATTTAGTGAAACAACAGTTACTTTCACCCTTACAATGTCCTGATACTTTAGGTCTGACTTTTAAAGATTATAAAACTGCAGTGCTTTTTAATGCAGTCTACAGGATGTGAAACTCTGTGTGGGGCTCAGCCACCTGTGGTGTTGTTTGAGAACCACTGTATTACCACACAGATCCCTACCTAACTCTGTTATTTATTCTACTAGTCGGACACTCAAAGTTCCTACCTCTTCTGAACTTTACTTTATATTTTAAGACTGTCTACATGAGATATTATCATTTCCCCAAAAATAATCTTTACCTTGAATTTTCAGTTTCTGATTATGACTAAACAGCACCAACCAAACTTCAGGCACTGACACATTTTTCCCTGTAAAACTAATTACTTTGTTTAATAAAACAGCAGTTACTATCAACCATCCGGTGTCCAATAATTTAGGTATGGGAGTAAAGAACATAAAACTAAAGTGTTTCTAGAAATTTGGGTTTTTTTCTCACCTCATTTTAGTCTGGTTTGCCAGGGGTCTGTCGATCTTATTTATGTTTTCAAAGAACCAACTTTTTGTTTCATTAATTCTTTGTATGGCTTTTTTTGGTTTCTATTTCATTGATTTCAGCTCTTATTTTTATTCTTTCTCTCCTTCTATTTGTTTTGGGATTTGCTTGTTCTTGTTTTTATAGGAGTTTGAGATGTATAATTAAGTCATTGATTTGAGATCTTTCAGTCTTTTTAATATATGCACTCATAGCTATAAACTTTCCTCTCAGGACTGCCTTTGCTGTGTTCCATAGGTTCTGGTAGGTTGTGTTTTCATTTTCATTGACTTCCAGGAACTTTTTAATTTCCTCTTTTATTTCATCAATAACCCATTCTTCATTAAGCAATGAGTTATTCAGTTTCCAGCTGTTTGCATGTTTGTTGTCTTTATTTTTGTTGTTGAGCTCTAGTTTTATTGCACTGTGATGAGATAGAATGCATGGTATAATTTCTATTTTCTTATATTTGCTGAAGCTCACTTTGTTCCCTAGGATACGATCTATTTTAGAGATGGTTCTGTGGGCTGCTGAGAAGAATGTATATTGTGTAGAAGTTGGATGGAATGTTCTGTAGACATCAACTAGGTCCATTTGATCTGTGGTATATTTTAGATCTAGGATTTCTTTATTGATTTTTTGCTTGGATGACCTATATATTGATGATAATGAGGTGATAAACCTCTGTGTTGGAGTTAATGTATTCTTTTATGTCCTTCAGGGTATTTTTGATAAAACTGGGTGTGTTGACATTGGGTGCATATAGGTTGATAATTGTTATTTCCTTTTGGTCTATTTCCCCTTTTATTAGTATGGAATGTCCTTCTTTATCTCATTTGATCAATGTAAGTTTGAAGTCTACTTTATCAGAGATAAGTATTTCTACTCCTGCCTGTTTTGGGGAGCCATTGGCTTGGTAAATCTTCTTCCAGCCTTTCATCCTAAGCCTATACTTATTTCTGTTGGTGAGATGGATCTCCTGTAAGCAACAAATTGTTGGATCTTCCTTTTTAATCCAATTCTTCAAACGGTGCCTTTTGATGGGGGAATAAGTCCATTAACATTAAGTGTTAGTACTGATAGATATGTGGTGATTCTGCCATTTAGTTGTCTTAGTTGTTTGAAAGTTTGATTGTGTGTACCTAAATTGAGGTTACTCTCT